TCAGCAGCAGCAGCAACAACAACAGTCGTTGTATTGGTAGGATGCTGGCCTTCATCCCTTACTGCCATTTCGGTAACGTTCACATTGTTTACTGCAGCTGGTGTGTGTGTGTGTGTGTGTGTGTGTGTGTGTGTGTGTGTGTGTGTGTGTGTGTGTGTGTGTGTGTGTGTGTGTGTGTGTGCGCGCGCATGCGTTTCTGCGTGCGTGTGAACAAGTGCATGTGTACATGTGTGCTTTTGAGTGTGAGCACAAGAGCGATCGTGCTAGCATGTGAGAGCGCTTGTGCTGGCGTGCTTGAATAGTGTTCCAAGGACTCGTCACAACCTAAACCTTGAGTGTCTGCCGTACCATACTCGAACTGACCGGCGCCAGGTGATTCCGAGTGATTGCATCCATCACGTGAACATGACTTGAACTCGTCTTTCAAGCAATAGTTTGTGGGTGTCCCATTCAGTCAAACGGCCGTTGGTTTTCTTCAGTGTCCCCGTCGGCCCTTTCCTTGCGGTCCTTTCTGTTTTTCGTTTCTATGAAATTCCGGCACCGGCTTTGAGGTGTCATCGTCAAGCCCACCGGGCACAGGAAGGGTTCACCGCCGTCCCTTTCCTTGCGGTCCTTTCTGCTTTTCGGTTTATGAACTTTTGGCGCCGGCCTCGAGGTGTCATCCTCAAGCCCACCGGCCACAGGAAGGGTTCGAACTCAGGTTTTGTTTATCAAAGGTTTGCGGGTGGTACCATTCAGCCATGAACGCTGCGTGGGTCACTCTTTCAGTACCGGCGGCCAACCCCTTTTTTTGCCCTTTCCAGTTGTTCCGATTTCTGTTTTTCCTTTTCTTGGATGATGCAAGGCTCAAGGCCTCGATCTGCCCTACTGGGCCCTATTTTCTGTACAGTCGGCCGCCCTAAGTGAAGGCAGGCTCGACCCAGGGCCTACAGGCCTAATTTTGGGGTCTCCGCACACCTGGGTAAATTCAGGCAGTTCCGCAGCACCAGGGTGCCTTTTTCGTATGTACCTGAGGCAGGCCCTGGGCCAGATAAGCAACATGGACCGAACACAGGCCGAAGACAATTGGACAAGGGCAACCACCAGAGGCCCAGGGCCTGATTCATTTGGACTGGGGCACAGCCTCTCTGGGCCTACCTGGGCAGGGGCCCAGCGTAGCCAAGCTTTACGCAGCAGGCAGGCAATGTCCATTTAGGAAAGTGCCTGCCCACGCATTCCTCATTCGGGCACTGGCTGCATGCTGCGCTATACGCTCGCCAGCGCTCACGCGCTCACGGGCGAGCTGGAAGGAGCAGGCAGCCATAGCCGAGCTGCGCTGCTGTATGTTGGATGGGGCGCATGGCCGTCCTTGGGTGCACGTGGCATCTGTGAGTTGGGGATAGAGGTTATGAGCGATGCGAGAGACATACCTGGTGCTTGAGGCGAACGGCATTGGCCGAGATCTGCTCGTACTTCGGGGAGCTGTTGACGTCATCAGCGGCATTGTAGATAGGCTAGACAGGATCTGCCATAGTCTGGGTGCCGAGTGCCAGATAGGATGTCAACATTGGTTCTTTGTTGATGATGATGAGACTATTCGAACATTGTCACTTATGAGCTTTTGCTGTGCTCTTATTTGGTGGGA